TTAAACCTGTTGCTTGAAGGGAATGTTAGTATTTATTGATTTAAAGTTGTAAGCATCTGTAATTTGAGCCATATAAACAGTGCTTTCGCAGACAAAACCACAAATTGACTGGGCTTTAAGATGACTAAATCCTAAACTATCAGCTACAAGGGACTGAAACATTTTGCCTGGACACCAGTCAACCAAGTGCCCTAACAGAGTTTTCTTTTGAGGGCTTAAAGTATCATGAGATGAACTTACAACTCCAGATACTGAGATTCCACACACTAACTGCACTGTCATTCCAACTCTATCTGGTATTCTCCATCAGAAGCCAAGGCTGCTGCTAGAAAAACAGAAGACTGTTGGGAAGAAACCAAACCCAAGAATAATGATATAAAAGGCAGAACACAATAAAACAACATGGACAATGGAAAACAAGCTAATGGATTCAGAATCAGAAAAGCAGAAGGCAAATTCAAGCAGTCCTCTGGTGGGAGTGAAGAAGAAGGACAAGCTGAGCTGTTTGCTGCTTACAGCTGGAGCGTAACTGAGTAGATGCAGGGTCCCTCAGCTAGCAGAGCGCAGAGCAGGCAGCAGTGTCCTGGATGCGAATGCCTCAGAGGGTCAAAACTACTAGAGTGTTAGAGCAAAGGAAATTTCCCTTACGCATCTTAGTGGAGGCACCAGACCAAAACAAAACAAAAATATTTTACACCACAGTATACTGTGTGTTTATTTTATTTTATTCCCTGTGTACTTTATAACCCAGCAGAAACTTTGCTACATTATTTATTAAGAGCAAATCCTGCAAAAAAATTTTCTCCTTTCACTCTCCAGGGTGGTCTGAGCCACAGGCCTTTAGGACTAGGCAGTTACATTCCAAAGCAACATGGGTCAAAAACCCGTCATCTGTGAGACAGCTACTAGAAAAACTTTCAGTGGTATAAATCACACAGGCTACAGAAACATTGTAAAGAATTTACTAGAACTGTATATATTTCCCCTTCCCTGCCCACTTTCTTACTAGGGGTAGGAAAAAATCCAGCTGGTTGTCATATCGCTTACACAAAACTATTTCACAGGGTATGTCAGTAGCTATTCTTGGTTTGACATGGTCTCAGAAAGCAGTCTTCACCCTAACTTGCGTTATTTCTATATTCTTGGCCTATAGGCACAAAAGTAAAAATAACGGCAATAGTACTTGCTAAATATGTTGATCCTATTGTTTTCCTTTTCTTGGTTTTCTTTTTTTTTTTTCTTTTCCCATTCATATTCCTTATGTCTTTAAGGCCCAGTAGCAAAGGATCTGTACCTGAAAAGCTTTTGATAAAGATAAGACAGAAGAATGTGTAAAAGACTTGAGTTCTCTGAAGCCTTCGTCTGTATCCTAGGAATAGTGGCGCTCCTGCTCAGATTCCTACAGCTCCTCTGAATCTTCTTAACAGATTTTATTTATTCTCTTGTTTGTACAGCACATGAAAGCATACAGAGTACTAACCAAGATCTGTCTAAAGAAGAACAGAAGACTTCTGCATTTCACCCATTTCTCTGCTTGAATCGACATCTACTTCACCAGTGGATGCCTATCTATCATCTGATTCTCCTTAATATTTGTGGATCTGAAACTGTCATAGTAGTATATTCATATTGGGTATCTTATGTAACCTTGAAATTCAGATCCTGTGACAAAGAGGAACATGACAAAAGTGAAGAGCCCTATGTGGAGAACTAAAAAAGGTTACATTTGCAGTAGAGAAGAATGAGAAGTATGGAACAGCAATGGTAAAGAAAAGATTAGCAAAGAGGAGATGTGGATAGAAAGAAGAAAAAATAGAAAAGAAATGCACTGAACAATCACAAATACATCCATATTAAAATTTTCTTCTTCTTCAGTACTCAGAGCAATTCATTAATTACTCTGCTTAACTCTTGTCCCTATTTGAGTGTTCTGATGTAAGATCAATGAAGATGTATAGCTCTCTGATATTCTCAAGTATTATGTACAGCTTTATCTTCCTTGAATTAAGTGAAATTATATAAATTTTTAATAGATTGTCCTATGGAATGCTTTACAATTTTAGGCAAACTGCTTCTAAAAAAAATCAAAAAACCTTAAGATTGCAAGTAACTATTTCTACAAAACAAATTTAATGTTCAGAATAATTCTTAGCAACTGAAACTACTTTATGGCCACCATTCATTAGTTCAAGGAATTGCTGTACTTGTTGCTATTTAAAGTCGTCTTTCATAATATTATGCAATTAAAAATAAAAATGAGCCAGTGCAATAAAGCCTGTCATTTACCCATGTTACAGCATCAGTGTGGTTGCCAACAGTATTATTACTAAATCTTTCCTTCAACTGAATCAAAAAGAAAGGATTTGATCTGTGCCTGTCCTTGCTAGACCATATTCTACTCACTTCTCCTTTCTCACGAATACTATGAAACTTTACATATGGAAAGAGGGCAAAGTCTAATACCTTAGTGTATTTTACTAATTTTGAACCCTGAAACCAATGCATTGAAGAGGTCTGGAGCATTTGTTAGCACCAGATGGGGAATGACTGCAATGTTTAACTAAAGACTTGCTGTTTAGCATCGTGCCTGGTAATTAGGCTTTTGAGCTGAACAAACCTTCTGATGTTTTGAAGCAAAATATAATGATATTGCTTTTTTCAGATGCATGCTGGGAAATATTCATATGCCTTTCAATATTCTTAACAGAAGAGAAAATGGTCAAATTGCAAAAATCAGAGTACAGTAATCTTGTATCTAAGGTATCAAGACTAGCAGCATAATCCACCATATTCATGGGGATCTCTATACCCTTCGTTGAGGAATCATATAAGGAAAAGACTGGGGAAAAGTGTACATTAATCCTACTGAAGTACATGCCTGCCATGTTGTCCATATGTAGAAAACAAAGACTCTTGTGAAATTTATCACAGATTACCCAGGTGTCCCAAAATCGA